GGCGATCCGCCCTTTGGTAGGTTTCATTGCCGTCTTGTGTTAGCCTTCAACATCGTCGTGTTTTGGATTATTGGGTGACATAGTACAACTTCTCGGAACTGCTTGGCGATACACCAACTGCTCCTTTTCACCTCCGATTTGATCCGTTCTTCCAGGGCTCAGCACACTGGAACAAAAGGCGAGGATAAGACCTTTTCGCGACTCGTCGAATGGGTTCGGTGATTCTCAGATATTCATTTCTTCGTTCTTTCAGCTTCTTTTGTTCCTTTTTGCTAAGTAGTATCCATGCTATCCCTCAAACTCCAAATACATGAAACTTAAGGGTTTTCATCAAATATTGAGATAAAATATGCATGTGAGGACACTAATTCTATCAAAATATAGCCCTAAATAAGTCCAATTTGTGGACTCATCAATAGTGAATTCTTATTTGTTCTTATTATCCATGGAAAGGCAAGTCATCTTACCAATATAAGTTAAGTCATCATAAATAGATAGGTTCTTTCAATAACCAATCCAAGCTAGGTTTATTAGGATAGATCTTAATCTTTGATTTAATTAGGTGAGAAAACCTTTCAACCTTAGAATCCTTATTATGTGAGAAAACCTTTCACATCTTCCCCATATGTGTATATGAGAAAAATCCTTTCAACAACACATGATCATCATCATTATTGATACTTTATGTCACGACCCGAGAGCACCCCCAAGTCGTAACATGCGTATTCGATGTCTCGGAAGTCTTATACAAGCCCTTAGCATTCATCATATTAGATATGTAAAATAGTGTGGAATTAAAAACTCTTTAAAACAAAATCCATAAGACTCAAAGGCCACTTTTAAAAACATCTTTCAAAAGTACACAAGCGGAATACAAGGTCTCTTAGCCATCTTAGACATAAACCCGAAAACATACTAGGGACACGGCCCTTTACAATCAAAGGAAGTTTATTAAGTCTATTACAAGAACCTTATCATAAAACTAGAATAGAAAAGTCTTGTCCTCGACATATGAGGACATATCACAAGATCTTGGAAGAACTTCAAATCCGAAGCTTACTATAGAACCCGCTCACTTGCCGGAACCTACACTTGTAGAAAATAGAGAAAATATGAAATTAGCACAATTAAGTACTAAGTATGATGACTATGCAAAAACATGCTAAAAACGGACATTTCTTTGAAATAAATGCTTTCATGCCATTTTTGATAAAACCTTCATAACACAAGTATAAGAGACACATTTCAAGTCATCATCCACGTATAAGACAATACCCGCATAATAGACATACTCAACTAGTACCAAAGTACAACACATAAACATAATAGTCAAGTAAGTCCTTTTATCATCTTGAAACCTCTATCTCAAGTCACCCTAAGCCACACTTAAGTGAGACATGAAGTGACCACCCATACAACCTCTTCATATACACCTAAGTGTTCCTAAGGGTTACCATAGATAAGGAATTTATCATTACAATATAACATGCTAAGTCAACAATCTTTATTACACTATTTTAGTAGCCATTCAAGAAATTAGGGGACTTTCACGTAATAGTCATTTAGACTTAGGGAACTCACTTTAGCATCTGCTAGGCCTACTCGTTCCATGTGTAGATAACATCCCATACTACCACCTACACTTTGTAGAACCTATCCAATAACTAGAGTGCACATCCCACATGATGAGAAATAGGCATTAACCGACGTAGACCATACTAGCTAGGCATGGAATCCAGAGTCTACCCTACTCCGTGGAAGGTGTTTTACTTGCCAAGGGTAGAACTAATAAGCAACCCATGTAGGCACATGGTTTAGGGGATATCCAAAGAAGTTCATTGTACCCTAACGTCATACTCGAAGAGGGCTACCTTCTTAACCATATCCACTCGGTGCTTAGCCTTAGTTCCCATAGAGTAATTTCATTCACATGTATGTCTTAGAGAGGGCTTCATCACTAAGTCTAGCCGACCCATAGTACTTCTACCAAGAAGGGCACCAGAAGGATCTACCGATCAAGGTTCAATAGGATAGCTCATTGACTTTCTTAGAGAAGGTTTTCTACCGTTCCAGTCCACCAACTCTAAGTTTTTCATTTCACACAAGAAGAAGGTCATCACCCTAAGGTCCACCACTTCAAGGTTTTTCATTCACTTAGGAGTCTAGACTTATGAAAGGGCACCATGCTTAGGTCTACCGATCCTAGATATTCATTCATTCCATAAGCTTTCATGTAACAAGAAGGGACATCTAAGTCTACCAAGCAAGCCACAACATTTCTATATAGAGACTCTTCATAGTATAACATCATCACATATATGAACATTAAATGAGATCACACTTTCAATCATAATGCAATAACACTTTATACAAGATCACCTTATGGCCATATTTATACCTTCACATTGTACAATAACACTTCATAATTTGATAACACTTTAATTCAATTGGTAATGTCTTCAAGGCAATATTGATAATACATTCCATAATTAAACACCTCCACCATAAGGGGATCAAACCAAACAAGAACAATTATATTAATAATATGAGATTAAGCCAACTTACCATCCTCTAAAGCCATATTCAACAACACTCAAGTCCCCATCATTTTACTTACCACAAGAGAATTCATTCATAACTTGCCCATAAGGCCACAACTCTCAATTCATCCATACATCAACAATTCATCATAGATAGATATAGAAAATCATAAGAGTCACCAATACAATCCAATCCAAACACAATTTCATTAACTTTGGATTATAAGCAAAAGACCCACTTTATACGAAAAATTCTAGGGTTTAGTGAAGGACAAGGGTTCATTGAGTTTTTCATTCAAAAACCTTCAATCAAACATTAATAACATCATATTTAATCATTGAAACCATTTTCATGCAAGAACCCTTGAGAGAATTGAGAAGCAA